CATTTTGTGATCCTTGCACAAGTTTTGTTGGAATTGCACTGACTTAATAGATCAGTTTGGAGAAAATATCATTGATTTTGAATGTATTCAAGAAAATATTGGATGAGCATTCTGCCTCAGGTCATTTCCGTAAGGGGTGGACTTTTGAAGTGGAAGGGAGGAGTGAGTGAGTTTCCATTGTTGAGGAGATAAGGAATACCTACCTAGAGGGGAACTGGAGACCCTGGGTTGTTCTGGGGCATGCACTCCACAGTGGAGCTGCGGGTACTTGAGCTCCCTTCTAGCTCCCTTCTACAACTCCTGCCACAGGCCACACCCTGGTCTTGAGTCCGCAGGGAGGGCTGGCTACAGTGTGCAGACTGTGGGTCAGTGTGTGGGCAGCAAGTCCACTCCACAGAAGAGAGATGTGCAAAGGCGACTTAGCAAAATAGATCATAGACGGGAGGGCTGCACACACAGCTCAGTTGAAGAACTCTCCCTGCTTGTGTGAGCAGTGGAGCAAAGCAGTGCCCTTCATTGTTCCGTGCTCTGGTTCTTAGAAAGTTGTTACTTCTGTTGATTTTAAGTAGACTTTCCTAGCTTAAATTTTAAACATTGTTCCCAGTTCTTTCTTCACTTGCTTGGATTTAGCCTTCTCAAGTCCATTGTTCCTCAGGTCTCACAGCCTTCCACAGCTTGGACCTTGGGTTGGGCTTCTCTGGTGTAGTCTGGCCAGCCCACAGGCTCATCCTGGGCTTCCTGGGGTGCTGGCTGACCTTGTACCTGGTCTCAGTTTGAGTTCAACCTGCCTGACTTGCTTGGTCAGGTGTCTCCCTGCAGCCGCAGCAGCCAGACCAGTCCCCTGCTCTTTCCACTGGGCTCTGGTCTCATCCTTGCCTTTCTGGAAAGTACTTACCTAGAGTCTAATGGAACAGATGACATGAACGTTTCCTACCTTTAACTTTGTGGCTTTACTTCTATAGAATGTTGCTGTTTAGGGGTTGGTATGGTGGTATAGTTCAGTGGTATAGTTCCTGCTTAGCGTGTATGAGTCCCTGGGTTTGATAACATTTAGCAAATATGTCCACTGAAATGTGTTTAAAATACTGGGAAAGTTTTACTTTATTTATTTATTTATTTATTTATTTATTTATTTATTTATTTATTTATTTATTTGCAAGCATTGAAAATTAGTGTTGGTGATAGGTTGGATTTTATTAACTTACTATTTAAACCTTTATTTTTTTTCTGGTACAAGGGATCGAACTCAGGTCATTGTGCTTGCAAGGCAGGCAGTGGAACCACTGAGCTAAATCCCCAGCCTTTAACTTACTATTTGAGTCAAAATTTTCAAAGCTCTATTTTTAGGGTAATCCTAGAAAATTATACATTAGCATTTGTCTACATTATAAAATTTTTAAAAAGGTGACTTTTATCATTCTGTTTGTTTAAGGCAGTGTCTTCGCAGTGACATGCTAGGTTAATAGAAGAGTGTTAGGTTGGACTAG